GACGAAGTTTGAGCACGACGTCGTAGGCGGAGTACTCAATCGTCTGATTGTGATATGAACAATCCACTCGATATGGTCAGTATATTTTTTCTACGACCCACTAACGAAAATCTACAAATTTAAAAAATTATTTTAGGTTATTTAGACAAAATAACTAATTTTAAAATAATTTACGAAGTTGACTAATTTATAAAATAAAATAAACATGAAAAATTAATTAGTCCTCGGCCTAGATTCGATCCCGGGCTTTTCGCATGGAAGGCAGATGTTCTGTCCTCATCTTCATCGAAACTTTCAGGACTTTAGTTTTAATACTCGTAATTAAATTAGTATCATGTAGTTTGATTAAAATTTATTTTTTTTTAAATGTGGACATAATAAAAACAAAAATGCTATTATTTATCGAGTCTACACAAAAATTTTAATGTATATTTAATATCAATAACTAAAATATATATTGACAATTAGTTTAACAGAATTATCACTTATTTAAAAAATTTTAAATAATAGGAGTTGGGTGACCAAAATATGAACTGTGATTTGTAGATTTAATTTTGTTAAAGTGTTCTCACTACCTAAAATGGATATGAAATATATTCGTAGTTGAACGCAATAACATAATTTTTCGTTTTGTAGTATGTGCGTAGATTGGCTAATATCCATGCACAGATTACAAAACGAAAAAGTATGCTATTGCCTTCAGTTGAACGAATATATTTCATATCCATTCTAGGTAGTGAGAACACTGCAAAAAAAAAATAAATTCGCCAATCACCGTTCATATTTTGATCAACCGACTGCTATTATTTTTAAAATTTTAAATAAATGACAATTCTGTCAAACTAATTGTTAGTATATTTTTTAGTTATTGAGATTAAACATACAATAAAATAAGTTATTCTTTTGGAAAACGGGTATTGGGTTAATTAATTCTGAAAGTGTGGTACAAATGTTATTTTTTGTAGCCAATTCTTCAAAATTATTTTAAAATATCTTTTCAATATTGAATATTAGTTCTACAAATTCATCATTTGACAGTTGCAGATTTCCAAATGTATCTGAATTGGCGTTATCATATGCCTTTTAAAAGCAATAAAAAGAAAAATCGTCTAATTCAACGTGATCTTTGTTATATTTAAGACAGGTATCGCAGGAGTGGATCCGCAAGGCTTTTATTAAAAGATAACCACACACATACCTGATAAAAATTTTCTGTAGCAATTCGTCTTTACAATAATTTAGGGTGTTAATAATTTCATCATAAAATAAAATACAAGGTGTTCCATTTAAAAAACATACATTTTAATTTTCCAGGCAAAAACGTGACACCCTGTATATCCAAAGATGTTTTTAAAATATGTAGGTATTTTTCAAATCCATATAACTTTTATTTAAAACTTTCTTGCGTGTCTACAACAAAATAATGAACAATAACGCACTAATGAGACACCCTGTATAAATTATATTTTTAACAATGAAAATTTCTTATAATGTAGTACTTATCGGTTTGGGTCCTTGGGAAAACTAAAGAATGTTTTCTTGCAGGTATAACCCTTATTAAAACAGCTTTTGACTGCACAAACTCATTCTACTCACAGCTAAAGAGTCACCAAAATAACAGTACCTTTAACTCAAACAAAATCAACGAAATTATAGGCTCCACGAAATTATACAATCAACGAAATTATATGCACGACTCAACACCTTGCCTAAGTACGCTTCTGAACGCCATAACCGTCTTTTCCCTTCGAAGGCGGAGCTTAAGCGATGCGCGACGAAATCGACGCAAACCGTTGCCGCCAAGAGAGTGTTTTAGCTGTATTGTATAAGCTGTGGAAATATGTTGTGAAAGTGTAACAAAAATAATTTCGATAGCGCCTGTGTGCGCCGCACACTTCGCACACAGGGGCAGCGCGGCCCTGAATTCAAGGTCCAATAAGCTGATCCCCGATAATTCCGACCCAAATATTTAGAGAAAAACGATCTTGGAAATTATTTTCTATGATAGCATTGGGATTATCCTCAGATCAGATATGGTTGTTGTGGAAGTTCATGATGGCGTTTCGAGAAAAAGAAGCTTCGTCTGTAACAAGTACATGGCCTAAGAAATCCGGGGTTGTTAATAATTTATTTCGCAGAAATCTACTCTGAGAGGAAAATCTGTAGGTAGTAATGCCTGTACACGTTGAATATAATAAGGATAAAGTTGTTGAGATTTTAAAATTTTCCACACCATTGTATGCGTAATATTCAATTCATGAGCAATTTTCTTTGTACTAGTTTGCGGGTCTTCATCAGTTCTATTTAACACAGCTTCTTCAATTTCACTTGTTCGAACTGTCGCAGGCCTTCCTGGGATATCAATTGTTCTTTTAAAGCTGCCAGTTTCACAAAGTCTAGCGTGAATATTAGTGAAAGTTTGGATATGTGGAACCACCCGTTGAGGAAATCGGGCTTGATACATTCTTTTTGCAGCTTGTGCATTACCGTGAGCCATTCCGTAGACGAAATGAATGTCTGCCATTTCTGCATTGGTATATTCGTACATTTTTAACACAATAAGAGACAATAAATTATTACATACATACATACATTTTTAAATGACAAAAACCATGATCTTTTTTTTTTTTAAATAAACTGTCATGACTGATTCCGCTACCATGAAAACCTCTCGGTTGTTTGCAAGGCTTGCTATGCATGTATGTACAATTGTATACAGGATGTTATTAAAATACACGTACATATTAAAATGGGGAATAGTATGTAATGACCAAAAACGATTGGCACCAATTTTAACTTCAAATTCTAAAATTTAAATATTGGGGAAGAGTCCCCTTTTCCGACCTACTAGTTTCCATATTTAAAGAAGTAAAATAAATCGAAATTGAACTTACCCATAGAAATTGCACTGTTGCCGTAGCAAAACCAATTGATTCAAAATAAAGTTTATTACAGTAATTGTTCAAAATGCCGTCCATTATTATTTACACACACTTGCAATCGTCTTTCCAAAGAACTTTGAACATTAGAAATTAGTCTTGGATTTTGTCGTAGTTCCTCGGCTACCGCATTAACTTTATTGGTTAATTGTTCAACACTATTAATAGGTTCATTATAAACCAGTTGTTTCATGTGACCCCACAAAAAGAAATCGCATGGATTTAAGTCCGGAGATCTCGGAGGCCACTTAGTAGGTCCATTTCTGCCTATCCACTTTTGAGGAAATCTAATGTTCAAAAACTGCCGTACGTTTAAATCAAAGTGAGGAGGAGCGCCATCTTGTAGGTACCACATCCGTTGCCTTAATTGTAACGGTATCTCTTCTAGGAGTACTGGCAAAATATCTTTTAAAAAGTGGAGATATCCTGGCCCATTTAATCTGTTCGGGAGAACATAAGGCCCGATTAAATACTGATCTATTATGCCAGCCCAAACATTTATTGAAAATTTTCTTTGATGCCCAGTTTCCCTAATGGCGTGAGGATTTTCATCACTCCAAATATGCGTATTGTGCATATTGAACACGCCATCACGAGTGAATGAAGCCTCGTCAGTATACAATAATATTTTTAGAAAATCAGGAATATCAACACATTTTTGAATCATCCATTCACAAAATCATCACCTGGATATAAGGCCTGGACTTTTTGGATGTGATAAGGATGTAAACCTTGTTCTTTAAGTGTCCGCCACACAACAAATGAGGACACTCCAATTTCAAGAACTAGTCTTCTACAACTTAATTGAGGCCGGTTTTCAACAGCTTCCAATATTTCTTCTTCGGCCGCCAATGTTCTTTGTGTTCTTGTTCTCCCTCGATCTGCATTGACACTCTCAAATTTTCCATGGTCTCTTAGATGCTGAACAGTTGAAATAAACGTACGACAGTCCGGAATTCTCCGATTTGGAAACCGTTCGCGATACAGGATTTGTGCTTGCCGAGAATTTTCTCCAGCTGCCCCATAAACCAGCACTATATCCGTTAGTTCAATATTCGTAAATAGTGGCATCGTAAAAAAATATTTAAAAGTAATCGTAACAACACTTTTTACCAACTTGGAAATGACGCGCTCGTGTTAGCCAGATTCGTAAATCAACTAAAATTTTAATAATCTATAGTTTCAAAAATGTATAGTTTAAAAACAATCATTTATCAAATATTCTAGTTTTTTGATAACGAGGGTAGTAAAAACCAGTCTTCGGAAATAGAAATTAATTCGAAAATCTTGGCAACATGGTTATTTTTTACAAGACTAGTTTTCTTATCATCTGACAAAAACTTGCATGTTAATTACTGTTGATGTTTAAAATAGGTAAATAAACCTAATTTATATAGGTCATCCTCAACATATCAGTGAAGTACGTTTGTTTTAGAATTAATTTTCAAAAATTAATAACTCCCTTAATAAGAGGTATTTTTAAAAAATAATATTTTTCTACATTCAGTGGGGATCTGCGCAATACCCAGTTTTAATATGTACGTGTATTTCAATAACACCCTGTATTTTAGTAATTTGACTCCGAAATAAAACGGATTTTATTTTTTAAAGCGTAAACTATGCATCGAACGAAAAAACCCAAGAGATTAAATTTGTTTAAAAATAAATGAGGATTTCAAAAATAATTTTTGTTTTAAGATGAAGCAGTGACATACTATTTTTTTCTGCAAAAATATTTAATACAAACCCCGTAGGTATGGACGCCACTAGTAGAAAACATAAATTTGTACATAAAAAAATGCATCTTAATGCATAGCATATGTGTACCAAATTTCGTAAAGATATCTACAATAGTCTCACAGTTATTGGAAAAAATAGATTTTTTCTGAAAACTTTACCACCCTGTAGCACAAAAGTTAAGAGGTTTTGGACAAGTATTCATATGAACTTTTTACCTTAAAATTAGTCAAAGATTCACCATTTAAAGTTTGTACAAGTACTTAATAAACACCCTGTATACTTAGAAAAATTTCTGTGTGAAATTAAATTAAAAACTGCGTATAAGAATTAAAATTATGTATATTAAAATAGATTCTTAGCAAGTACAGTTACATAAATTGGAACTTACATCTATTGAATTTAAAATATAGTAAAAATTATGATACACATAAAACTTACACTTACACAATTACAATCACGTTGGCCGGGTTTTTTAGTTAACTATATGTTGGATTTAATGCATACATAAATGTATATAGCGTTCTAAAATAATAATAATAATAATAAACATCATATACGAATGATTTACAAACTAAATTATCAAAAATACATTTAAATATAAAACGAAATTGTTCCCTGAATAAACAGATTTCTTGAAATATGAGAGATAATTACTAATATAATAGAAAAGCTATAAAACACTGTAACTATTTCTTTAAAAAATATGTTATAAAAGAATTTAGAATATCCACCAGCATTGAAATTTTAATTTAGAAAAATTTCTTTTTATAGTTAAAATATCAAAACATTATTTTTAAAATAGAATATTCCAGTGAATTATAGCTTCAATACAAATAAAATTAGAACGTATGTCTAACTTTTACTTGTACCTTCACCAGCTTCATAATTATCAGTGGCAAGCGCATTCTTTCTCAATTTCAAATAAATATTGTGGCAATAACCAACTTTTTTAAAACCATTATTTTCGAAAAAGTTATGCGAAACAATATCGTCAATAGCTACAATAGCGCATGGATTTATCCCTTCACTGGCGAATTCTTTAGCAAATTTTCTCACGATAATGGAGGCATACCCTTTCCTTTGAAATTCTTTTAATGTTTGAACGAATCCGATTTGACCCATCATGGTTTTGATGCCCCACGAGACCAGTTGGCCGGTGGATTTCAGGAAAATTCCATAGCCTCCGTTAACATCAATTAGAGCGCAGGGAATATCGTCTTCTCCTATGAGGGGATGCGGCCAGTGTTCCTTTATTACGAATGAATGAATTGCATTTAAAGGTTTGATTTCTATGTTAGCATCCTCGGAGATACTAAAAACAGAAAAAATAGTAAATAAAACGTAAATAAGTATATGTGTATGGGGAGGATACAGCAAAACGTTACGTTAACTGTTCTAAAGTAATAGATAACGTTACCGAAGCATTTAAAATAGAATACTTTTATTTAACTATTTTATTTAGTGTTACATAAATTTATAGCAAGTCAAAAATAAAAACAAAATAAACAATCAAAAGATTAAAAATTACAAACATCAATAAAACATCTAACATACATATATAATCTAAAACAATAAAATAAAATACGCAAACTCTTGACATTGAAAGAGGCTTCAGAAAGATATTCTATTCCAAAAGCTATCATAACTGACCATGTTAAAAACAGAAAGGGTGTGAAGTCAAAAACAATTGGGAGACCGACAACTTTATCTTTGGAAACTGAAGATCAATTAGGTAGACTCATTAAACTAATGGTAAAATACGGCTACGGCTTGTCAAAGAAAAACTGGTGAGCGATTACATAATTAAAGAAAAGATCCCAAACCCGTTCAAGAATAACTTTCCTGGAGAAGAGTGGTGGTCAGGTTTTAAAAAAGACAACGCTTAAGCATTAAAAAACCGCAAAATGTGGAAGTTGCCCGAAAAAAAGCTCAAGATCCATTTGACGAACTAAAACTAACTTTGGAAGAACTCAATATTGAATCAAAAAATGTTTGGAACCTTAATAAATCGGCATTTAGCCACGATCCGTCTAAAACTAAAATAGTAGGAGGAAAAGGACTGAATGCTACAAGAACTGTTAGTGCCCCTGGCAGAGAAAACACCACTGTCCTACTGGCTTGTAGTGCAACTGGAGACAACTGTCCTTCATTGTTTATTTTCAAAGGAAAAAACGTTTGGAACCAATGGGTTCCTAACAAAGATGAAAGTTATCCCTCTTCAACATTTGCCGCTACTCAAAAAGGCTGGATCGAATCTTATGTATTCCTGAATTATTTTGAACATTCCTTTGTAAAAGCAGCAAAGCCGTTCCCTAGTAATCCCGTTCTTCTCATCTACAACGGTCATGCAACTCACATTGGTTTAAAATTAGTGGAATTGGCTGCGAAAAACCACATGACAATTATTTTTCTGCCTCCTCATTCAAGCCATTTACTTCAGCTCATCGACCTGGCAGTTTTCAAGTCCACTAAATCATCGTGGGATGAGTATCTCTGCAAAAAGTTGAGACAACAAGGCTGTCAGAAAATTTCTAAACTATCAATGACGATAAAAATAGGAGAACTATGGAAAAACTTCGATACGGACATGATTAAAAATGGATTCAGGAAAGGTGGCATCTTTCCGTTTAATAAATATATCATTCCTGAAGAAAACAAACAGGCTGCTTATTTAAAATACATTTGCTCTTCTGTGACGGAAAATGCCTTTCAATAAGATATGTAAATGAAGTTACCAAAAAAGAAGATAAAATGTCAACATATTGACTTGTTTTAAAGAATCCCCAATCAATTTTCAAAAGAGTTTGAAACTTAGGTCTTTCTAGACGTTTTTTATGACGTCTAATGCATCTCTGGATCTGTCATTTTAAGTCATCCCTACAGAGAAATGTATTTTAACATAAAAATATGCTTAAAATACCTATACAGTCGTGAAATATTTGGCATTAATTCTCCGCTTGAGTTTACTTAGGGTGGATGTCACGAAATACATTTTTAGGAAAGCAAGATTAACATCCAGATTAGTCACAACCAGTGACTCAGAAGTGACAAAACTTAGTAAATCTCAATATATTGAGATTAGTTGGATATCCATATGTGCTAATAATTGGACATCCACCCTAAATGAACTCAAGCAGAGAAATATTTTATTATTTGAATAATGTATTTTTTCTAATGTAGTTTTTTTTTGTTTCAGGATTCCTTCAAATGGATTAATTGTGGATTATAATAACATAAGAGTGAGTAAATTATAAAGTAAATACGTTCTTCTAATAGTATGCTGCTCTAGAAATTAATTCTATGGAGAGCTGAGTATCACAAACTAATTTGTTAATTTATTGAAAAAGAATATTTTGGAATTTCTAAAACTGGAAATAATAATCTAAAACTAGACTATTCAAAAAAAAAAAAAAAACGTAATCTTAGGACGTGTAACTGGGGGAGTTTCAAGGAGGAACTTAAGTAGGGACTGGAGGACTGTACTTCGACATCGAAGAATTCAGTGGAAGTTGAGTTTATGTCAGAGTTTTAAACACGTTTGAACAAAACTGCCCTATAAAAATAAAGAAAGTAAATCGAAATGCTGTATGGTGGAATCGAGACCTTTCCAAAAAAAAAAGAGCTGAAGTTTGTACACTCTTTAACCTGTTCAAAAGATCAAGGAACTGGAAACCCTATAAGGCGTACGTGAGAGAATATGGTTATGCCATTAGGAAAGCCAAAGAAATTTCCTGGAAGAAATTCTGTAACGGCATTGAAAGCCTTTCTGAATTTTCCAGAAAATTCCACAGCAAGATAAGCAAGAATGCAAAGGATCTCTGAAAAATCAACAAAGAAAACTCACAATAACAGGGAAGAATACTTGGCTGGAAACGCAAGATGGGTGAAGAAATAAATGGAAATTCAGGTGGTACTGGGGTATCTAGCTGTAATTTGCACCAAATACGAGCAAGTGCAATGTCAGAAGAATCACTGGAATCTGAACTACTTGATAAAATATCAAGACAGCATGCACTCTAATTAGGGTTGCCAAGTGGTCTTTGCCGATTAACTCTCAAAAACTTTTCTGGATTACTGACAATTACTCACAACTTTAAAATATCAATATTACTAGTTTTATTTTTAAATAAATCGTATATTATGTACTCGTGCACTTCTGTTTGATATTATTTTACTACTGTGCAATGTTGCCAAACAACAAAAGAAATTTCCATGGCCCACAACAGTCAAAACAAATGCATCTTTTTTCTGCACATTCACCATTTTATTAACTAAGTAATACATCTTTGTAACCAGCTTGACAAAAAACACAGATAAAAGGAATCTTTAATAGCGAACAATAACAAAATAAATCATTAATTAATAGGTACCTGAAAAAAAATCTACTAATAATAGGTACTTTCAAAATGAACAATAAAAATATTTTCTTAATCATAATCGATAATAATCGACGAATGGGACTATGACTATCGACACGACGCCTAATGCAATATACAATATAAAAATCACATTTATTGTTTTATATTGGCCAAATAGTAGAGGCCGATGCAATTTTAAAACTACAATATTGTAATGACTGCTAGAATTGTTAGAGGACGTAAAATTAGGCTTATATTAAGAGCAAACATGACGGGCGCTCCTCCACCAAAAATCAATTTTACATTTGAGGCAGTTAAAAAAAATTGTAAAAAAAAATGGTTCAGACCAATCGTTGTAAAAATGAACCAAGAATTTCGCTAAACCGCGAAAAACTTATATTTTTAAAGAAAAACAACAAAAATTTCAACTTTTTAATAAATTTAATTTTTTGGCTCTTTACCGGCATTCTATAACACATATCTTAACTATTTTCTAAATAACTTTTTTTCAAAAAGATTACCAATTTTAAACAGGACCGAAGATTAACATAGTTTTCATTCCGATACTAATTCTATTAAAACAATGATACCAGTGAATATGGCAACGCTGCTAGTCTTTGAAGCCCGTGGTTAAAAGGGTAGCTGCCGTTTAGTTAAATTTGTTAATTCCTGTGTCGAAAAATAGGTAGTTGTTTTTGAAGAGGTGCGAAATTATTGTGATCGTCTTAGTTTGTTGTTGAGGCGTTGTTAGGTTTTTGTTTAATTTAGTTTTTAGTTAATTTATGAAATGAAAAATTCTGAAAGGCAAAAATGCACATCTGACAAATTTCTATTTCATTTGTTTCCTGCCAGAGTTAGTAAATCCTAGAAAAATACGACATGTGCCAATTAGGGAAAAGAGATTGTTAAGAATTTTGCACGCTTAAAAAAATGTGTAATATACAGGGTGTTTCTAAATACATGCGACAAAATTCAGGAAATGAGTGCTCGTATGAAATTAAGATGGGTCTTTTCTATAACAAAATTTCCTCAGCCCACCCCTTTTCGAGATATCACCCTTAAAAAGTGGTGACTAAAATTGAGTTTTTATTTTTTTTTTCTAAAATTTCAGTAAAGCTAGAAACTTGAAATTCTGTAATCGCAAAGGACTAACCACGGGTATTTTTTTCAATATTTCTGTTACATTATAGGGGGGTGAAATTAGCAACATTTACTTTATTTCATATCAAAACTTTTTTTCGAGATGAACTTTTATGAAATCCTTGATTTTTTTAATTTTTTTTTTATTCTTGAATTTTTTTTTCCAAAACCAATAGCTTCAGAGAAAAAAAATTAACACCCTAATTTATTATTATTTTTTTTTTAATAAATTGTTAGGAAAACAGTGTAACGGGTTTGTAACTATCGTATCGTATCGTATACACTCTGTCATTATTCGTTTCTTGCAATAATTTACACCAGAAGATAGCACTTAACGAAGCGTTTTAGCCACTAATTTTGGCGAATTTTAAGAAATCATTAACAAGACACTAGAGGCTTAAATTTGGGGATTATATTAAGAATAGTGCTGTCGAGGAATGCATTTATTTTCATTATGATATTTCAAAATTAAAGCCCTTTTAGTTTTTTTGGGAAACTGGAAGGAATTAAAACATTAAAATATATGCATATTATAGATATTATTGCCTAATTTATTTTGCCAAAATTTAAATATTTTGAGATATTCTTGTCCGATAATTATAAGGGGTATGAACACCTTAAGATTGAAAGAGAATTAACTTTAATTCATGAGATGCAAAGCATCATAATTGTCGCGTCACAAAAACCACCTGCTGCCAAGAGAAAATTTTGATTCAACAGTATTGTATATTTTGTGTTGTAAAAGAGAAAAAATTAACATTTCGTGTTTTAATAGTTATTTTTTTAATTTAATAATCTATGTGAAAAAAAAATT